CCTGCATTTCTGACATGACACAAGACGAGACGAGACTGCTATATATTTTTATTTTTATTAAAGTTTTAAAAAAATTTAAATTTAGATTAATAATGATCTCCCTTCCAGTTCCTGCATTTCTGACATGACACAAGACGAGACGAGACTGCTATATATTTTTATTTTTATTAAAGTTTTAAAAAATTTTTAAATTTAGATTAATAATGATCTCCCTTCCAGTTCCTGCATTTCTGACATGACACAAGACGAGACGAGACTGCTATATATTTTGTACAAAGCATTTTGATACACAATCCCCGATTCAGACAGGCCTCAAGTCAGTTGGGCTGGCCACACGTCAGGAGAAAGGAAGAAATGCAATGCTGGGGAATTAAATAGCCAGTTAATAACTAGAGAAATGGCTAACTATTTCGTCCACATCAGCTAACTGCGTGCTTACTGAAAGTCCCTGTGCGAAATTGGCTTTATCGCAGGAATAATGTGATCAATAACAGCAGAACCACAACTGACTGGACTGGGGGGAAGGAATGTCCATTAAAGCCAAGCGGCTGTGAAATCTGCATTCCTGTCGTTTGCACCAATTTACTGGTGTAATTACGTAATTGATGCAAATGGCATCATTTGCAGTAAAACCTTGATTTAGGGGATGAGCCCTCAATTTAATGAAGACATCCCGATAGTGGTGTCTAAACAAAAATGCTGTCCGTTGTATCCAAAGTCACTAAGCCAGGATCTGTAAACTGTACTAGTAACGTCCCTTGTCCAAGTTCTGTTTCTGCAAACTTCCCTCTGAACTGTGAAAGCATGGCTGAACATCAGTCTATCCCCTCTAGGAATCAGGGCTAATGGGCAAGGATTGCTGGAACTGCAGTCCAGCATTATCTGGAAGATGGCAAGAATAATTAGAAACACATTCTCCCTATCAGAATTGATTGTGGACTGGAGGGTCTGGGAATCCCCCCAAATCACGCACTCAGATTCAAAAGACTACCCTTTTGGAGTTGGGGTGCTGTGTCTTTTGGATCTAAGTGCATGTTTTGGGGGGACTATAAGTCCCCCAATCATCATCGAAAGCTTTGTTAGGAGGTGCACATATCTAATTATTAGCTATGCTCCCCACTCCAGTTTTGAAGAGCACAGAGGGATCACTGGAAGAATCTTAATCAGAGTCGAAGAGATGAAGGCTTCCAACCCACCAGGATCAGCCTGACAAGTTAAACTCTCGACTGAAAACCCTACAAAGTAGGCCAGGTTGAAATAAACTGACTTGGTGAAGGCCAAAAGCATTAGATCTGGGTGGGGATTTGAACCTCAGTGTGGGGTAATGGTGAAGGTGCTGGACTTGGAGCAGAGAGACCCAGATTCTAGTCCCCCCTTCAGCCACGTAAACTCCTGGGGGACCTTGGGCCAGTCCATCCCTCTCAGCCCAAGAGCCAGGATGGGGAAGTGGAGGAGGGTGGGGGATTAAGAGCACAGAGACCTGGTCCATGTCCATCCTTGGTCACAGAAGCCCCCTGAGAGACTTGGGGCTACTCACTCTCTCTCTCTCAGCCCAACCTACCTCACAGGATTGACGGGGTAGGGGGAAATGGGAGTGGAGAACACTGCGTATTCCACCTGGAGCTCCTGAATGAAAGGAAGGATATACTGTAAATCTAATAAATACCTAACTAAACCCTTGTACTAGTGAACAAGCATCACGACTTGCCATTTCTCCATTACGTTCCTGTAAATGTCTATCGTATGACAACAGATACAAATTAGGAAGTTGCATGAAGTGTTCTGGATCTTGTAAAAGTGTAAGCACAGCACTAATATTTTCTTGGTGTGTTTTTATATTTCCACACGAGCCTGGAAGCATTGCCATTCTTTCTTCCAGCGGAGGGATGGTGCAAAGTCCAAAGCACTCTTTCCAAACCCTTTTCAAAGTATGCACAGCCCTGCTGGAGACCTCTGACCCTTAGAAAAGCTGCAGCAGAACTCATCTCATCTCCCCCTAGAGCAGCCCCCAACCTGGGACCTTCCACCTATGCTTGGACTCCAACACCCAAGGATCCTAGCTAGCAGACCACATCTCAAGGGCACCTCAAGGGTTAATCGTGGCTGCCTTAGAGCACTGTGGGCATGTTTGTGGGCCCCCTACGTGCCAGCTCTATGGCAGACTGCGTTCACACATTCTTAATCCACTTGCTAGATTCACACAATACATTGAACCTTAAATAAATCAAAGGGGCTGGATTTGTACAACACACGAAGCCACTAAAAAGTAACCAGGTTCACACTGACCAAATTTGGGCAAATGCAGCTTTTAGGTTTGTAACTGTCAAACCTTTTTAGGGGCATCAGGGCGGGGATGTCAAAAAGGTTGAAACAGTGACTGCAACCACACGACTGAACTTTTCTTTAGCAAGATTTATTGAGGTCACAAGAACACCAGGAACTGAACTAAGCTAAGAGCTTTATTTCTTTCTAACAACGATATGATGATCTGGAGAAGAGGCAGATCTTCTCGTGGCTTTCTCAGTCTGAAAACTAACCCTTGCATCAACTCACCTGATTAAGGGGTGGGTGAGCCCAGCCACTAGCGTGGCAACAGTGCAGCTGTTCCAGGTTCTTCCTGGCTCAGCAGCTCATACTCACTTTTATGGGTGCCGAACCAGCCATTTTGCTGCTGGGGAGTGTTTCAAGCTCCCCCCTTACTCCAGCAACCCCTCCCCAACCCTCATCCCCACCCATACCTGATAGGCGTCGTACGGATGATCTCCGAGACTTGTTGCATGTAATCGGTGGCTAAGAGGACCACCTCTTCGTCTTCCGAAAAACGCTCATGGAATATTCTGTCCAGAAGACGCTTCCATTTCAACTGGGGAAGGCATGAAGCATTGCACTGTTACTTCTGAAGCACTGCTTTGTAATAGAAGACTGGACATCCTGAAGCTGCTACTGGGCCATGTATGGGGGGAAGGGCAAAAAATTCAAGATGGTAGCGCAATGGAAGTCCTGCATGTAAAAATGGGATAGGGTCATGGCTGCCATCTTGACTTTTTTTACCCTTACCCTATGGACACTCCTGCTAAGGCAGGGTTATAAATGCCCATAAATCTGGTCCATCTTACCATTCACTTTAGTAAGGCAATATTCTGACATTGTTTTCAAAGCCAACCTGAACAGAAATAAGCCTGCATCCATTTCTGGTCACCGTTACCCCAAACTGAACGACTGCCAGCTTAATGGAAATCCACCCCCGTCCCAAATTTAATCATATTTCTCTGCTGTTGTTCTTATCTTTCCTTCGTGCAGGCTGTTAGCTAAATTGCCCCAATATGAGCTCTCTCATTTCTATTGCTGCTGGGGAAGAAAGTTATGGAAGAGAAAGGTGATATGAATTTCACAATTCTGGAAGTGAAGAACCTGGCAAGGCGGCGGGTGGTGCAACAAGAACCTGATGTTCCTCCTGCTTTGCTGACCGCCCTGCTTCCTCGGGGCTCCCTGGCCCCATACCCAGCTCCCAAACTTACATTGGGTGTGATGCGCTGCAGTTCTCCCAACGTTATTTTATTGTACATGGAGTTGATATCCCTCCGCAGGTCATCGTACTCAGAGATAGTAATCTGTGAAATGGGGGAAAGTTGGAGTTGGACCAGATCGCCGCCCCCAACCGGCTCCCATCACCCTCTGCTGACCTGGAGAAGGCAGAAGTGGTGAGTTTTTCGCCCCAGTTCCTTCATGGGCCAAAACCCACCAGGAATGAAGCGATGCAAGAGTTGCGTTCCCTCAACCTGGTTCATCAGGCCAGGTAAAATCCTAGCAAATGTATCTGCGCAACTGGCTAAGCTGGATGCATTTCAACTTGGGTAGTTTTGCAGAGCTTAATCTGCTGTGTGAACCCAGATTACTGGGTTTGTGGATGGCTCCATGGAATGTGCAAACCCTGAAAATGGGCTTGTTTGGTAACCAGGTTGAAAGTGTGGCACGAACACAGCCAGAGTACGAGCAGATGAACGGAGAACATTGGTACCTTCCTTCAGATATTTCAAGTTTCAGTGTGCCTCTTCTTTGCAGGAAATTAATCAGACAGCGCCCCCAAAAGTGCACCCCAACCTCCACTCCCTTGGATGGGGGACCCTTTGGGGCAGGGCTTTTATTCTGCATTTCTCCCCTCTCACTCCAGGGATAACGTCTTCCTCCCATGATGGACATAGCTGATTCCGTCTTTTTGCTTCCTACAGAGAATTCCATCAGGAGGAGAAGACGGAAAACTCTGCAAGGACTTTGGACAGCGAATGCGCGGAAGTCTGCTGTAGGACTGTGACTCAGCCCCCCGCACAGGAATCTTGCATCATTACTGCTCCAGCGGGTCTGAAAAGGGATCCAGATCCAAAGAGGAACCCAAGGACCAATTTGGCCATCACGTTTGATCACCCCACACTCAGCTTGGTTAGGTTGCCTGGGGCTTAGTGTTGGGTTTGTATTGTGCAAAGCGGCCTCCTTGGTTTGTTTAGAGCATAATATTTTGGGCAAACCCAGAAAATTGATTAATTTGCTTGGCAGAGTAAGCGTGTTGGGTGCCCTGCGTTACTACCCCAAACCCAGCCCTTTGGATTCACAACCGGAAAGACATTTTGGAGCACCCGAGATCAACCCCACCGCCTGTCTGCACATCCTTCAAGCAGCTGTATTGATGGATTGATTGGATTTATACGCCGCCCATCTCCCCCAGAGAGTGACTCTGGGCGGCTCGCGATTCATCTTCTCCTGGGGTCATCTGGCTGCCTCGTGTGGCTGCAGGACCCTCCTGAGGAAACAGCTGCTCACCTCTGGATCCAGAGCACCGCTCAGCTCTACCGAAAGGCAGCTCCGGGAGGGGAGCTGGCGGATGGACGCCGCCCCCTCTGCTCCCCGTTCCCCAGGCCAGCCCTGGCCAGTGCCCAGGAAGGGCCAGAGGGCACACTCACGTTGGCCAGCCTCTGCTCCAGCTGCAGGATCTCCCTGGCTTTCTGTTCCACGTGCTCAGCACCCAGCAGGCCCAGCAGCCGCTCCATGAACGCCCCATACGCAGCCAAGATCTGGAAAAGACAAGGCTCTGGAACCCCTTGCCGGGCCCGGAAATCCAGTCTGCCAATCCTCTCTCGGGTCCCTTGAGCACCACAATTTGTGCAGCGTGAAGGCCCTTCTTGGGTTGACCGATCTGCCAAGGAATTCTTCCTGATCCAGGCAGAGCATTAGTGAACATCTTCGATTTGCTGATGGACTCAAATGTCCCCACAGGGCCCAGCCCCATTCAGGCCCTCCTTGGTTCCCATTTCTCAGCCTTCCCAGGCACCCACCTGCTCCCCTGATGTCACCTGTCATCTGCCCTGCAAAACCTCTAATTTCCCACAATGCATCAGAGCACCGGAGGGCCACTCCTAGGCATTGTGGGAAATGGATAGAGCTGGCCGCTGGTTCTAAAGGAAGCTCGGCTCTGCAAGGGTAACGTGTCATTGTCCTCCCCCCATATCTTGGAACGATTCATTTGCCAGACCCCCTCCTCCTAGAAGAAGTATTGGGGCAGGCATTACATTCCAGGACACCTGCATTTTCTTCTCACCTTTTCGCTTTCATCATCCTGGCCCAGGTAGAGCATTCTCTCCGACAGCGTCAGCCCATCCTGGTCAATCTGCTCAGGTGGGGAAAAAACACACCAGGCGTTTAGCTTGAGGAGAAGCTAAAGCTTTTATTTTCTGCTGATCCACCAGTTGCTCCTCCTTGGCTGGGTTCACCCAGCTACCTAAGCTGCAAAAAACTAGTTAAATTTTTAAAAAACCCAGGTCTAGAACCCTAGAATTGGAAAAGGACATTGTTTATGTCATGTTTAACCTCCTGCTTCCAGTAGTAATGTATGGCTGTGAGAGCTGGACCATAAAGAAGGCGGAGCGCCGAAGAATTGATGCCTTTGAACTGTGGTGCTGGAGAAGACTCTTGAGAGTCCCCTGGACTGCTAGGAGGTCAAACCAGTCAATCTTAAAGGAAATCAACCCTGATTGCTCATTGGAAGGATCGATAATGAAGCTCAAGCTCAGATATTTTGGTCACCTAATGCGAAGAGAGATCTCTTTGGAGAAGACCCTGATGCTGGGAAAGATTGAAGGCAAAAGGAGAAGAGGACGGCAGAGGATGAGATGGTTAGATAGCATCACTGAAGCAATGTTCTATGATTTGCAGCCCATTTCTTTCCCAGCGGTTTCTATGATTTGCAGCCCATTTCTTTCCCAGCGGTTTCTATGATTTGCAGCCCATTTCTTTCCCAGCGGTGTTCATGGGGTCACGGAGAGTCGGACACGACTTAACGACTAAACAACAACAACAAACCTCCTGCTTAATGCAGGAATCCAAACCAAAGCTCCCTAAAGATCTGTGTCTAATAAAACGATTACAAAACAGGATTTCTCTGGATTTGTTGAAAAAAAATACATATTTCTAAGTCTGCATAGCCTTTATTTGCAGGTACATCACGCTGGTGACTCCACATGTCCATAAGGTCAACAGACGTCAAACTGAAGGAGAGGTCTGTTTTTTACTATTTTAAGATCTTTCTCATAAACATGTGCGCTGCCAAAACGGTGTCGTGCAAGGACAGAGAGGTGAGATATTTGCAACTCACGCTGCATCACTTGCCCCACTCCCCACTCCCCCCACGGACTCATATGCATAAATATTTTATTGAGCCAGGAACCCCCCCTCCTATATCCGTGCATTTAAATAGTTTCCCAACTGACGGGCTTGTCTCTTTTAAATTGCATTCTATGATTTGCAGCCCATTTCTTTCCCAGCGGTCAACATCATTTTGAATATTGTTTATGATTTTGGCAAATTTGATAGGCTTTCCTCCATCTTTTCATCTGTGTCATTAATAAAAATGCAAAAAAGTATCAGGGTTGGGGCTGATCCTTGGGGCCTCCCTTTGATTTTATGTCCAGTTTCCTAAGAAATCGTTGACATTTACTCTGAGTAAAATCTGACTCCAGCAATGTGTCCATAACTCCATCCAGCCCACACAATTACTGTAGTTTAGTAATTTAATAATAAAAGTTAATAAAGCCTTTATTAGTGAGTGTGGTGAACCCACCCTGTTTGGTTAGTTTAGGATTCTGTGCAAACTCAGAAGTTGGATTTGTTCAGTAACCAGGTTAAGGGTCTGTTCTCTCTGAAGGCATCCTGTAATTTTGTTTTCTTTAACCCTGGACTCTCCAGAATTTACTTCCTCAGTGATGCAGTAAATTAATGACATGCTGTGGATGTCACCATTGTCTAATCCGGTGTTTCTCGACCTCGGCAAGTTTAAGATGTGTGGACTTCAACTCCCAGCATTCCCCAGCCAGCATGCACGGACTCCAACTCCCAGAATTCCCCAGCCAGCATTGAAGTCCGCCCATCTTAAAGTTTAGCAACTAGGCCTATGCTTAATTAATGAAAACTCCTGTAGTTAATCTCAGGTTTAAAACCTGGGTTGCAGAATTGTGAGTCTGTGTATTGTGCAAAAAGAGACTGTACAATTAACTGAAGATGTAATGCTTGATGTGAACCATTCAATCACCAGGTTGAACCTGGAGGGAGTCTTTCTCAACCTCAGTAGTTCTCAACCTCAGCAACTTTAAGATGGGTAGGCTTCAACTCCCAGAATTCCCCAGCCAGCACGTGTGGACTTCAACTCTCAGAATTCTGGGAGTTGAAGTCCACTCATCTTAAACTTGCTGAGGTTGAGAAACACTGGCCTAACCCACCGTTTCTCCCATGAGAATGTCTTGATTAGTTGACCTCAACATGTGATAAATGAACCAACTCGTTTTGGGGGAGGATGCTGTATATTCCTGCCAAGTGGGGCCCTGGGTTCTGCCCCCCAGTGCTGCCTAGATCACACCCCTGCACTCCACAGAGACCGAAATATTCTGGGTTTTTCAAGAGCCCTGCCCATGCAAACCTCATCTTTCCTTTTCAGACAAAGCAATTCTCTTTCCTAGCAGCTGGACGGCCTAAGGAGAGCGATCCACCCCGAGCAGAAAACACTGGGGCAGGGGTTAGGGCTATTGCATTGATTTTCCACCCTGCCTTTCGATGCCTTCCAAAACTCAATCCAATTACAGCAATAAAAACAGAGCATAAAACGCAACAAAATTAATACCATTAAAACAAAACGAAAATTTAAAATCAATCACTGCAATAAATTAAGAGCGGGAAGCTTGGCATGGGGATCCGATCAATTTTGCAGAGAATGCCGGGAAATTCTCGCCACGAGCTGCTGACGGGTCCAGCTCCCGTCCTCCAGCACCACGCAATGCAATGGGCCTTGGGCTGCACAGAGATATTTGGCACAGAGCAGACATAAAATACTGCTAATGACTGTCTCAATGGAGGAGATGCCACAGAGCCCAAGAAGAGCCTAGATCAGTGTTTCTCAACCTTGGGAATTTTAAGATGGGTGGACTTCAACTCCCAGAATTCCCCAGCCATCTTAAAATTCCCAAGGTTGAGAAACACTGCGGTAGAGAATCTCCAATAATCCAGCTTCTACTTAACGATTCTTAGTGAAGTAGAACTCACTACTTCATGGGACAGCCTGTTCCACTGACAGCCCTGCAAGGTCATCCAGACAAGAATCACACCCAGGAGTACTAACTCTGTCTTTACTGCAAGGTTACATTAACAGAATCCGGCAAGACTGAACGCATTTCTCCCCACCTTTCCTTTTAACTCTCCCGAAAACTAGGGAGGGTCCCTTCTGAGATGCGTCCCACCTTCCCTCCTCTGGGCTGAGACACCTTCTACACGCCGGTTGTCCAGTCTCCCTCCTGTCTCCCAAAGTCACTCCCACACGTGATGACCCTGACAGTTTCTACACTCAGGAAGGTCCTCCTGGTGTCTAGCTTGAACTGAACCTCCATCCGTGTAGCTTGAACCCCTTGGTTCGGGTCCAGTCCTCTGGGTTACCACAGAGTAAGTCCACTCCTCCCTCTGAAGTCTGCTATCACATCTCCTGTGAGACTAGGCTGAAGCTGCCATAACCTAAAGATGAAGCAGGCACTAAGCAGAGAGGACAAAAGGCAGGAAACTTATCTATGAGATCCCTTCAGGGAG